GGGGTTACTCCTGAAGGCTATCTTGCTTATTAGTTGATCAAATTTGACCAAATTGAACACATAACAAAAATATAACAAGGAGTCTCAAAATTCTCAAATTTGAGAAAAAAATTACGTAGCCATGGAATCGGCGGCCATGTTGGATTTTGTTGACATATCTTACAAAATGAATACCGCACTTATTGTTCATGGAAATTGGTTGTTATTTTGCATGTATGTCAGTAGACAATAGATTTACAAATTTGTTTGCTGAATTATTCCTAAAAGAATTAGAAAATGTTTCATAAATTTTTCCCTGAGGTAGATCTAGTATTTAAGTTTGCAAAAACATTAGTGAAAGACCGCACTCCAGACACCACCAACAAGAATCTACATGTATTTCATTTTTTTTTTAAATCTCAACTGGAAAAAGTTGGGTGTTACGTCTTATCTTCATTCTGTGAAACTTTCATAAAGATTGGGTGAAAAGTGGAGATACTGAAAGAAGTATACAGAAAAAACATGTTTTGAGAAAACAGAAAAATAAAATGTTGACCTTCTGAGGAATGGTGGTGACTAACATTCCAGGTAAATGACAAAAAAGGGCTTTACGGGGTGAAATAGTTGTAAGAGAGGCTGTAGAAGGCAAACATGCTTTCATATCAAAATCCTTCATTTCAACGAGTCGGGACTTTCAGAGTGTACCCATCCCCTGCCGACTTAAATCTCTAAATGGTAGTAAATCAGGTTGGAAAAAAAAATAAAGGGGTCAGAAAAATGAATGGTCTAAAGTCATCCTGAGTCGTTTCGAGAGAACCGCAGAAGACAGACGAATAAGCACAGAAATGGGATTGATGTAATTTGTAAAGTCCATAACTCATTATTACATAAAGATTTCCAGTCCTCTCAATCAAAATTTAAAGCTATATTGTTTATTTACCCTGGCGTATATCAGCATACTAATACTAAATTTTTGAGCATGGTGTGACAAGATTGTTTATATTTTTCTACTCCATTCAATGTTATCACAGCGAAACTGGGTTTCTATCTTCTGTTGCACTCTATAATATAACTTACAATATATAGAATGAAGTACAATGCTGTGTTGTTGTGTATTATAGGCCAAGACTACACGCTGAGGTTTTTGTTTGAAGTTTTAGTATGCCATGGTACTATAATAGTACACTTTATAATGGTACGATGTGGTATGCTATGGTACTATGGTATACTGTATAATGGTACGATGTAGTATTCTTTCACTCTCGTCTTTATTACTCAAATATTCTATGATCTACTTTATTATTTTGCATGACAAGAACTGCTCTTACAACGTACAATACACAAAGGAATACCCCCCTTTCACTGCCATTTACATTCGCTGCATATGAGATTAATCTTTCTACTCTATACAAAACCGATATATCTTGAAATCCAACAACAAACACAACAACACAACAAATCCTAGATATGAAGAAGTTCAACACCCTCATCGACCGAAAGTTAGATAAAGATCGTTTGTGAAGCAACCTACTTCGACTCTGCCTGTAAGGTCCAACCCAGACTATACGGAAAAAAATCTCAGAGGAAGGACGAAAATATTCAAAACAATCTTATCTTTCTTTCGTGAAAATCGAACTCTTATCATCAACATACATCAGAGCCAAAAGCTCAACAACTTCACATCAGACGCCATTAACTCTCAATGAAGAATCTAAGGGTACTTCACCACTTCGCCCAAGTAGACTCATTGGGGGGAGATTCGGTGATTTTGTGGTTTGGTTCTGGATGGCGCGGATTAATTCTTTTTTTTTCTTTTTTTTTTGAGTGGGAAGGGGAGGGGGGCAGAAAAGGGGAAAGGGGAGGGGGGAGGCAGACTGGGTTGACGAGACAGAGGTGAGGGATGGCCGATGCTAAGCGCTGTACATGCCACGCAGGTTTTGGGCGATAGATTGATGTGGTCTAGGAGCACGGGTTGGCCCATGTTATTCCTTCTGTGTTATTGAAGAAGTGGGAGAAGGAGAAATGCTAATGTCCTAAACATCGTATATTTTTAGAGCTACCAGGACGTATTTCTGAGAGTAATATTAGACGCGTTGTTTCCTATATTATTATTTTTAGTTTTCTTTTCTATACGTGGGTTCATTTTGGCTGTATATTGCTTTGCTCTCGATAGAAACATTCTGAACATTTTTTTTTTTTTTAGCATATGAGTATTTCTTTTCAGTTTTTTAAATCAAAGATTTTTTCTTTTCTTTTGATGCTGTTGCTGTTATTTTGACATTGCTGTTGATGTTGCTGTTGCTGTTGGTGTTGCTGTTGGGGGTCATGAAACCCTGCAGAAAAACTTCCACCAGCAGAATCTGATTTCGGGGCCCCTGTCTCGCTAAGGGATGAACGAAAATATCGCAGTGGTTAATGCCCCTGCAATTAAATTTGTAAAAAAACCCATTGAAGCTGTGACATAAATTTCTCCAGAAATGGGAACTTGATTATAATTGCAACATTACGAATGACCCTTTTTGGAAATAGCTAATGTTATGGCCATATATATTTGAATTAATAGCCTGGAAGGTGTGTATTTCTTTCTAATTGCACATTGTGACCGACCGAAGGCAGACATGGGGAACCGTCGATAAAAGGTCTATGTTGTTATGGTGTTGCTTTTTTTTATCTTGTTGTTGTTGTTGTTGTTTCAGATGATGATGATGATGATGATGATGATGATGATGATGATGATAGTTCTCTTAGTTTAGTAATAGTTTGCTTATCTCCGCCATTTTTTCTCTGACCTGTCTAGTTCTTTTACGTATGTAATAATTCGTTTCCGGCCTCTTCTCTCGCGTGCCCAATTCTCAGAAATACACAATATATTTATAGCATTTTTTTCCTGCATAATTTCTTTTTCCACTATCTTTACTCTTCTCCTGTCCAATTCTTTTAAATGTTCCTTTCTCTCTCTCTCTCTCTCTCTCTCTCTCTCTCTCTCTCTCTCTCTCCCTATCTACCTCTGTCTCTGTCTCTGTCTCTGACTCTCTCTTCCTATCTCTTATCTTATCTTAAAAGTCTTATCTTATCTTATTATCTTATCTCATCTTGAATACATGGTCTAGTGCGTTATCCTCCTCTCTCCCGCCTGGGCCTGTCCCTGTCTCTGGCTCTCTCTGTCTCTGTCTCTTTCTCTGTCTCTGTCGTTTGGCTATCTGTCTGTCTGTCTGTCTGTCTGTCTGTCTGTCTGTTTGTCTGTCGGTCTGCCTCTCTCTCTCTCTCTCTCTCTCTCTCTCTCTCTCTCTCTCTCTCTCTCGCTCTTATCTTACATTGTGTACGTGCTCTATCCCCCCACCCTCCTTGACCAGGGCTCCGTGTGAAAATCTTGGTCTCCCTAGCCTGGGGCTTGTCCCTGGCCTTTGCCCTGCCCCAGCTCGTCCTGTTCCACGTGCATGAGATACACGGAGGGCCCATGTGTGGACTCGAACTCTCGCTCTCCGGCTGGCAGGTGAGCCATCATTGTTATGTTCTAGCTGGTGGTTCGGTGTTGTGGAGGTAGATGATGAATGTGGCACCCTCAATGTTTTAGTTGGTAATTGTCGTGTGTTTGGTAGTGGTGGTGTTTGGGGTGATGGTGATGAGGAGCATGATGAAAAGGAACAGGAGGAAGAGAAGGGGGAGGAGGGGGAAGAGTAGGAGGAAAAGGAGGAGTGGAGAGGCAGAGGAGGAGGAGGAGGAGGAGGAGGAGGAGGAGGAGGAGGAGGAGGAGGAGGAGGAAGAGGAGGAGGAGGAGGAGGAGGAAGGTGGTAATGGAGGAGGAGGGAGGAGGAGGAGGAGGAGGAGGAGGAGGAGGAGGAGGAGGAGGAGGAGGAGGAGGAGAAGGAGGAGGAGGAGGAGGAGGAAAAGAGGAGGGGGAAGGTAGACAGCAGGGAATAATGAAGAAAATGGGACACAAAGTCCAATCATTTTACGATCCCCTTTAAGTTAGTTTGTTTTTCTCTGAAAATAGACTTATCCTTTTTCTCACTTGAACCATTCATATGTTTGACCTGTAGATCTACCTGAGCCTCATCGCCGTCTCACTGTTCTTCATCCCTGCCCTCATCATTCTGGTGTGCTACCTCGCCATTATCGTTGTCATCTTCAACAGTAGCGTCCAACCTATCAGCATGAAGAAAGCCCCGAAGATAAAGAAAAGAGGAAACTCTGCCGATCCAGGTATGCGCCTTTTTCTCATAGAAAGCAATTTGAGTATGGCTCGCCAAACACTGGAAACAGCATCGTTGGTGTAGCGGTTAGGCATTTCGCCGTCGCACGCAGAGAACATGAATTCGGCCATAACGCGAGGAGAAGTGTTATCGAGTACCTCCGTATTTTTGCTGGGACGTTGTATCCCTCTCAGCGCGGTTTGGGCCTGGCCAGAGAGGCAAGGTCGAAGTACCAAATAAATTATCTAAAGAGAGCGTTAAGCATCTACAAACTTCTACAACTATTTTAATTACCCTCTCCAGTTAGACACGAAGGAGTGGAAAGGAAACCACAGGGTCCGTATCTACAATAACACTACCTACTGTTGAGGGTGTTAGGTCATTACAATGTCATTTTAGCGCATACTGTAAGGAACGCCCTAAGCTCAAACTAATTAGAAAAAAAACCAACGTCTCTCTTAATACTTCTGGTGCAATACACTTTTGACATCAGGGACAGAGGTTATCTACACCGTCTAGCTTTTTTAGTGAACTTCATTTGCAATGAACAACAAAGACGTTTCCAAAACTGTCATGAAATCCAAAACTGTCCTGAAATAAGACCACCACAAAGTGGAATATCTGAGGTCCCAATGACTTTCCTTCAGCTGTATTCCGCTTCACTGCTTTTCATTTTTGCGTGTATCGTGAAAACGTTTTGACCCAGACGAAATCAGTTGTTTTTATTTTCCTTGTAACAAACTGACTGTATGTAAAAAAAAATAATTTTTTAAAGAAGAAGACGGGAGTGTTTGAATAACTTTCATCATCAGCGGGTTCCTTTTCTGCAAAACTGCAAAAAGATCAGAGTATGGAGTCAATAATCAATGCAGTTATCTATTCATGGGATTTAGGAAATTCCCGATGACACTATAGGTTTGTTTTCCTGCATGCACGGGGTCTGGTTTCTTGTGTGTCCCCTGGGGAAGAAGGAGGAGAGGATGAGGTATGGGAAGGGGTGAGGAGCAAAGGATGGAATGTTTCAAAATTTTTTTAAAAAGCTTGTTTCAACAAAATGTGCGTGCTGATTTCATCTCTACTTATCCCTACTTTGTGTTTTCTTCCTTTCTCTTCTTTCTCGAGTCTTTGTTGATCTCTTTGGCTTATTCAGTTCGTTCGTGCTATCTGATCTTTCCTCCCACCGGTGTGCCTTCCTTTATATAGTTTCTTTTATTCTTTCGGACTCTTTCATTTCATCAATTTGCAAAGGCCATTTTTATAGATTTGTCATTTCTTAGTTTCATCTTCTTTGCTTGGCTATATTTTATATTAGATTCTTTTTTTACAGTTTACCCCACCCCTTCCCCGCCCCCCACCCCCCGATCCCCTTTCCCCCCATAATCCACCTTAATATAGTTCAATGTATTTCTTCTTTCACAGTCTCTGTTGTCTTCTTCCTCTCTTTAAACGTGATTCTTCATTTCCCCTGCTCTTGTTTCGTATTTTTCCCCAAATTGTACTCAACCTCTGTTGTACATTGGTTTCAGGATCTACTCAACCAGCAGAAAATTGAAGTTTGAATCTGAAGGGTGGGGCGGTGCGCTTATTGTTTTTCGTTTTTTCCCATGGGCTCTTTCAGAAAATAATGTCCTGTCTGCAGATCTGCTTGAGGACTCGTTTTACTCACGTCGTCCGCGCAAAACTCATTCAATAATTCTTTTCGTCTGCTCAATCTCCCCTCCGCGTACTCACATGCCTCATCCAAACTCGCTTTCATCAACTCACTCATCTGCTCGTAATATCTCTGAGGGCACTCTTCTCTCTCACTCTCTCTCTTTCTCTCTCTCTCTCTCTCTCTCTCTCTCTCTCTCTCTCTCTCTCTCTCTCGCTTGCTCCCTTTCCCTCTCTCACCCTCTCTCCCAGTCTCTCGCCCTGCCCAACATTCCCTTTACATAAGTCCTGCGCTGTCACTCAGTGATCTCAATGTATCATCCTACTATCTATCCATCTACCACAAAGCATCACCCTACTATCTATCCATCTACAACAAAGTATCACTGTACTATCTGTACGTCTCCAGTCCCAGAACCCACCCGGGAACTCCGGAGCTCCAGTTGTACCGGCGGCATCATCAACCAGGCCAAGATCCGAACTATTAAGATGACATTTCTTATCGTTGTTGGTAAGTTCGAGGGTACAAGTATCCCCCACCTCCTCCACCTTCGTCCCCGTTCCGCTCCCTATTTTCTTAAAGAAATTGAAAACGTCTTTTGTAACTATGTCTCGACCAGCCACAAGTGGCCCCAAGGAGAGTGGAGAGCCCAGACATGCGTGAGAACGCCAAACTAATGTTGAATGAAGGGTTAACGTTTACTGGTACCATTATAGAAGACCAGAAACACACCTTCCCCTGTACTTTGTGCCAGCTTTTGTATCTATGCGTTTCTCTTCACTCAAAACGCACGCTTCTCCTCGTCTCTTATCCAAACGGTGCCTGTGGTGGGACAGTTGAGCGCTTCGCCGTCGCACTCAAGTTCCATTCCCGAGTGGGGAGGTTTGTATCGAGTACTCGGTATCTCTGCTGGGACGTTGTGTTCTTCTCAGCCCGGGTTGGCTCTAAAGCTAGCCTCTTTAATGATCTGAATTGTGTCGATGGGGGTGTAAAAACACTTACATTTTGATTTCATCTCATAAATCTCTGACAGGTGTACGTGTCCACCTTGCAGTGTTCATCCTGTGCTAAGCCCCCACTCACTTCTGTAGCAGTTTACTTTTACACTTGTAGTGTTGATCCTGTGCTGAGCCTCGAACAAAGGAGAGTGGCCTCAAATAAAAATATCAGACAGAAGTAAAAGCCTCTGATCAGTAACAAAGAAAGATACATAAGGTCATTCTTACCATCATCCGCCAAACTTATTCCATCTTAATCATCCTACGTTGTTATAAGTATTCATATGACCTTAGAGCATGCATCAGAATACTACTGAGTTACAATCAGATTAATCAGTAGGTATCTAGCTTAACATTAGGAAACTAAAGTCTTTCAATCTGAATCCATCCATCCAGATTCAGATTTTCTACACCACCACAATAGAAACTTTGATAAATTTTGGAATCACTTGCTATGGTAGCAATCTGGGAAGGCAGCACATTATAAAACTAAATAAGTTGATAAAAAAGGCATCAAGAACAATTGGTAGAGACCTAAGTAACTTTGAATATTGCACAAGACAAACGTTCTAAAAAAGGCGGAAATAATGCTTAGTGACCATAGCCACCCACTGACATCGGAATTTCAACTTTCGACCAGCAGTAAACGATACATTTCCAAAAAAGCAAGAACAGACATATAGAAATTAATTCGTACCAACTGCAGTGAGGTTACTGAACACACAGTGCTACAAATGAAACAGAGAGAGAGAGAGAGAGAGAGAGAGAGAGAGAGAGAGAGAGAGAGAGAGAATGAATGTTTTACGGAGCGGGTTGTCCCAGCCCGTGAGACATGTATTTACTTGGCATAATGTCCTGTGCGTTTGCGTGAGTGCACCTTTAAGTCTAACTTTTGTAACGTCTACTGCCATTGTTAACGACCAAGACAAATTTCTCCCTGCGAGATGAATAAAGATTGTCATTGTCATTGTCATTGTCATTGTCATTATTATTGTTTATATTACTGTTCATTTATATTATGCATGTGACTGTGGGCCTGTTTGTGAGTGCAGGCATATTGCGTATGTGTGTATGTTAGTTTGTGTGTTTGTGGGGGGGGGGGGGGGGGTGTATGTGTGTGTACGGGGTGAAACACAAACCAATGTGCCAGGATTTGGACAATAAAGGTGTGTCTTATCTTATCTAGTTGTACATTGATTTACACTTTCAGTGTACATCCTGTGCTGGAGCCCGTACTTCGTGTTCAACCTGTGTCAGGTATACGGCGCCCTTCCCGCCACCCCGCGCTGGGCCAAGATCACCACCTTTGTCCAGAGCCTAGCCCCACTCAACTCGGCCGCCAACCCTGTCATTTACGGCGTTTTCAGCACACGGATCTGTAGCTACCTCAGGTTAGTGCTCTCGGATACTTTGGATTTACATGCTATTGTTTTCATGGTGTTGCGACCTTTGTGTTATCTCTTTCTCGCTCTCTCGCTCTCTCGCTCCCTCTCTCTCTCTCTCCCTCTCTCTCTCTCTCTCTCTCTCTCTCTCTCTCTCTCTCTCTCTCTCTCTCTGTGTGTGTGTCTCTCTCTCGCTCTGTTTTTCTCTCTATGTCTAACGCTCTAAGTCGCTTTATGTTGCTCTCGTTCTTTCTCTCTCATTCTCTCTCTCTCTCTCTATCTATCTATCTCTCGCTCTCTCTCTCTCTCTCTCTCTCTCTTTCTCTGATACTCTCTATCGTGCTCTCCAACTTCCTCCCCTTTCCCTCTCCCTCCCTTGTGTATTATATAACTTTCACTGTGTATCTCTCCTAATGTCTTGGTGTAGTTTCATAGTCTCTTTCATCTTGCCTCCATATCCACTTGTCTCTTTCTCACAAACACACTAGCACCACCAGCCCTACTGAGGACACATAGCTGAGACAACAAAATGTGTATTTAATTCACAGATGAAATACAGAATTGAGTGACGTCTATGTGATTAGAAAATTGATTAATTAAGATATAGTTTGTTGGACTCTTTACCCTTCAATCCCATTTGTTTCCGAAAGAGAGCCAAACAGGAGTCCCTGTCCCGCGCAATGATGTAATCTTGTGTATCAAACTTTTCATGTACCCTTTGCGCGAAATTGTTGAAACGTACTGTGTTAGTGACGATTACCAGCTGATAGCCGAGGAAATTGTGGATGTTGTAATTGGTCAAGTTTTAGCAGGTAAATTAGCGGAAGAACTTCTTGCTGAGAATTTATTTTGCCATTTCCCAAAAGAATATTCTAGTTAAAACGGTTTACAAGCATTCATGTTCTTCTACAGAACCCCCCCCCCCCCCCCCCACTGAAATTAGGAGCACCAAACACCAAGATGTACCGAATAAGCATGCAAAGTTTCAAAAAGATTGAAATGACAGATTTGAAGACAGCATAACTATTGTAACCCTACACCTTAAAAACGAAACTTTTAGGGGAATGCGAAAAAGCAACCTATCTGTATTGGTATGACCTGTTGGAGTTTTCTTGGCGCAAAAACCGGTATTGAACGCGTGGTTATGCTATAATTTCCCGCCAGTAAATGGAATATCCTTAGCCTGCATAGGCCTACTTTACCCCTTTCTACTCGTTTGTGTGGACAGGGGATCTATTTCAGTATAATCAGGACAACGTTTTCCATTTCAATGATGAGCAAATTAAAAAATCGATGTGCATTCTTAGTGGGTGCTCTGATGTGGTTTGCTCTTTCTTTCCGGTGAAACTACTATCGTCCTTATCTCTCTCTCTCCTTTCAGTGTTTGCTTCTCTTTAATAACACTCTTATCTTTAGCTCTTATTTTGTTACATTTGCCGCAAAACTATTAATAAAACAAAATTTGAAAACCCGACAAAACCGATTTTTCAGTGCCCTCTCTTCCTCTCGATAATATATCGAAATCCATCACTCTCCTTAAAATGACGAGTTTTTTAAAAAAGATAAATAAATGTGAGTCCTCAATTAAGAACTTATCGGAGAAACTACGCCCATCTGGGTTCTCCATTCTCGTGGGGTCATATTTAGGTCGCATTGACGTCATGCGCAAAAGACACTTTTAACAAAAGTGTATATTATGTTATGTCAATACACATTTTTTTTCTTCTGCTATTAGTCAGTCTTTTGCTAAGATTTGAAAGATTGTCTAATAAAGCACACAAAAAAAGAAAATAAAAAACCTTTTTATTGGCTTCAGGAGCACAATTTCAATAGATGATGATTTACCCCAATCATTATTTTCAACTTTTTGCGATGACAGCAACGACAACTAAGTGGAAAAAAAATTACAAATTGATGTTTCTGGGCCCGTGTCAAGAAATTACCCTGTGCGCTCTCTGAAATCAGCGATGGCTTTGTCTTCGTTTGCTTTTTGTTTGTTTATTTGTTTGTTTCTGCGTTTATTTGTTTTGTTATTTTGTGCGCTTTTTCTTTTTGTTTTACGAGGGACAGGGTTCAGGTTATTGGTGGTAAATCTATCCATTCGTAGTTTCATTCTGTCTGTCTTCCTTTCTCCGAGATTTGGGAGACATTTTCGTGAGTATGCGCTTCTTAATCGGGTCATTATCTCAAACTTCTTATGTACAAATATCTTCTTTGTACCGATATTTGCGTTGTCGTTATTCGACTTTTCACCTCCGGCAATGAAGGGCAACGTTGTATAGTCACCTCCCTTTTTTGCGATCTTTAAGAGGCTGAACTACTCGCACAGCCCACGCACATAATGTTCAGTGGCGGTGGATGGGCCAGAATTTGGGTGGGGCTTAGCAAGCAATAAGAACTAAAGAGTACTGATTTGTCTATACTCACGGCGAGCCACGGTATTTTAAAAAAGCAGTCAAACGAGAAGAGTCACCTTTGTCTTCCATCTCTTTGTTCCATGTCAAATTCTTCTGGATGGGGTGGACGAAGCCGTTTCACCTCCAAATTTCTCTAATTAATATTTATCTGATGGAAAAGTTCCCCCAAAAGTGGTTTGAGGTAATTAATAACTGTTAAATCTCAGCGACGTATACCGTCTATGAGCTGGATTAGGCCGTGTAGTGGCGAAAGGTAGACGGCACCTCAAATGAGCGCATAGGTAACTGTGTCGCTTGGGGAAAGTGTGTCATAAACTTTCAGCCCATTGTCAGGGCTAGGACAGCGTGAGCCCTCTGTGCAGTGTTATTTTTTCCTGTCTTCTATCTTTTACAAGAAGAGTTTCATTAAGGATGGGCCATGGGAACTAGCTCATAAAATGCTGAGCCCTAAAGACATTTGATTGGTTGTTAGGTTACTATAGCTGTAAGCGGCGACAAGAGTGATTGGATAAACGAGCAAGCAGCCAAGTTGATACGAGCAAGCCGCCAAGTTGATCAATCTGTGTTCATTGCGTGCGTTCATAACGGTTTCAGCTGCTTATTGCGTTATTTTCATTTGCTTTGGGATAGAGTTGGGGTTTGGAGAGGGACTCAAGCCTGTGAGCCCTTCACTACCTACCGCAACTGAAATGTTTCCAAGCATGGCATTAAATAAAACCTGTAACCACCCGAGTAATCCCCAGGGCGTTAAAATTACCAGGTTGGCAAGCATTGACCTTTGGGGTCCCGTTTCTTTTCTTTTCTTTTTTTAGTAGAGGTTTTACGGCGCTCGCAACTGCATGAGGTCTTATGAGCGCCAAGGGGCTGATGTCAACAGAGAAGTCCTTATAGGGAATCAGACTTACTCTTCTCACCTCTTTAGCTTCAACAGCACAAAGTCTGCTTCGGCCAACAAGGCACCCCCGAAATAGCTGGTCACAAGAGTGTGACAAACATACAAAAGAAGTAGAGGAAAATGACGATAGCAAGGATGAGGAAAGAAAAAGTAGCAGTTCCCTGTTGCAGTTCAGGCAGAGTTATGAGCATGACCTTGTTGAATCAGCCAATTTATAATTACAATTCTACGGTGCATAAGAACATGGGTAAGGTCTGTCGTGGTATCAACACAACAGTCAGGTTTAACCAGGAGAAGCAGGTTTGAAGAAATTAGTCTACTACACAATTTCAATTTTGTCAATTGGACAGTTGTAAGTGTGTTAATGTGCAAGGATATAATAATGATAATTAATAATAATTGTACTTATAAAGAGTATACTCAAGCTCTAAAGTATATTCTATGCGGTTTACTACCATTGTAACATCATAACTACCTAATGAGAGCATTATTGCTCTGATGTTTAAATCTGTGTATGTTGCTGATCTGGTATATCTACTCAATGAAGTCTATTGTCTTTAAAAACGTCCATTCGTGTCTTGTGAACTGGCGTCTGTGGTGTAGCGGTTAGGCACTTCGCGGTCGCACATAGGACACCCTAGTTTGGTTCCCGAACGGGAAGAAGTTTTGTCGTGTTTGTGGGTTTTTCTGTTGGGATGTTGGATCCCTCTCAACCCGGGTGGCCTTGTCAGGCGAAGTCGAAACGGCCTGCATCATAAATTATTAAAATTTTGTCGACGTCGACGTAAAAACACCTATATCTACAAAAAAAAATTCTACTTCTTTCTTTAGAATACGCCGTCCTAATTGACTAGAGATAAGCCAGACACTACAAAATTCCCTAGCAAGGCCAGACGATCGGGGGAAAATGCTCTTAAATAAGCTAAAAAACGACCCTGCTTACCACAGTTTGATTATAGCCTCTGGTTCCTTCGATCAGGTTAAGTTTGCAAGCTGTTTTTTTGGTTTTGACCTACAATAATTCTTTTGTTTTCCTCCCGGTGTGTATTCAGGTCATCCAGGGGTCAGCAGAGGACGACTCGGATGTCAAGGCCGAGTCTGATCCAGGACAGTCCTCAATCCGGGGCGTTCCCTGGCGAGTATAGCAGCGTCACCGACACCGAAGACTTCAGGTGGGGAGATATGGTATCAGTGTCTGTCTGTCTGTCTGTCTGTCTGTCTGTCTGTCTGTCTCTCTCTCTCTCTCTCTCTCTCTCTCTCTCTCTCTCCCTCCCTCTCTCTCTCTCTCTCTCTCTCTCTCTCTCTCTCACACACACACACACACGCACACACACACACACACACACACTGTCTCTCCGATTATGTCTCTATCTCTGCCTCTGTGTCTGTCTGTCTGTCTGTCTGTTTGTGTGTGTATGTCTGTCTCTCTGTATCTCTCTCAAACTCCCTCTCTTTCTCCTCTCTCTCACTTTCTCTCTCTCTCTGTCTCTTTCTCACTCCCTCTTTCTCCCTCTCTCTCACTCTCTCTCATTCCCCATCTCACTCTCTCTCTTTCTCTCTCTCTATCTCTCTTTTTTTGTACTCCTCTTTTCTTTCTTTCCCCATTTTTCTTCGTTCTTTCTTTCTTTCTTTCTCTCTCTCTCTCTCTCTCTCACACACACACACACACACACACACACACACACACACACACACACACACACACAGAGAGAGAGAGAGAGAGAGAGAGAGGAGAGTGGGGGGGAGAGAGAGAGAGAGAGAGAGAGAGAGAGAGAGAGAGAGAGAGAGAGAAAGAGAGAGAGACATGATAGAGAGAAAGGGGGGGGGGAGAAGGCAAGCAGACGGACTTACAGTGAGTGAATAGACTGGTATTCAAACAGTCACGTGAACAGCAACATGGAGCAGAGACTGAAATAAACTGGAAGACGTTAATAAATAACTATTAAGATGGGGCACACAGAGTGTGGGCTTGAATTTGAGAGAGAATAGCACAAATTATAAAAAGGAGGAAAAAGATACTAGATGAGTTGCAAGAGAAGCACGAAAAGTGCCAGAAATATAGGGAGAGACAAAGAAAGAGAGAGAGAGAGCGAGAGAGAGAGAGAGAGAGAGAGAGAGAGAGAGAGAGAGAGAGAGAGAGAAAGAGAGAGAGAAAGGGAGGGAGTGAGGCACGGCGGAGGAGGAGAGCATCTCACGTATTAACCAAGAAAACGGAAAACTGTGGGGTTTCAACAGCGTGCAATTAAAGATGGTGGGCTTCTTTTAAGTGTGTGCAACGTTCTCAATTCCAGTCTTCTGACTTTAAAAAAACCGAAACACTTTCATAGCTCATTAATGGCATGTCAATCTTCTCCCCAGACTTACCTCAGACCACCGTAACATTAACTGTGACGTCACCAGCAGTCGAGTGCCGTTGGTGGACCAGAGTCTGACGGAAGCGGATCGGCAGTTGCTCAGTCTGCATGTCCGCGGCAACACAGACATGCACGAAGTGTGAGCATGTACGATTACGTTAACAGTAAGACATATGAAGGTCAAGTGCGGATGACGACTAGATGGTCTCTGCTGCTCGTTTTGGCCTCGGGATTGTCCTGTCTTTCGTGTAGACCTTTATTTCTTGATGTGGCAAAAGACTGGTTCATTTTGAACTGCGGGAGGAGAATGAATAGTGGCCTGCGTATTGAACGTAAGTTCGTACGCACGCACGCACGCACGCACGCACTCACATACACACAAACACGCACGCACGCACGCACGCACGCACGCACACACACAAACACACACACACACACAAACACACACACACACGCACGCACACACGCACACACACACACACATACGAACCCTAAGGTCACCATTCTGAACTCATTTGACCTTCTACAAAAATCAGGGTCTTCACGCTCTGTGGAGCCAACTTGGCGGGTTGCCTGACGCCATGAACAAAGCTTCACATGGCCCCACCCACGTCCTGCGCGAAAGACAATTGTAACTAGTCTTACTTTACTTTAATTTTATTGTTACTTTTTCTTTTACTTTTCAAATCCAGCGACCATCTATGTTCTAGCCCTTCGGATTATGGCAAAGGATTGGAATTTATAACTAGTTCTAAAAAGAGTGATCTCATCTATACTGTCTTGAAAATTTCCAACAGCTTTCTGCCTTTTTAGTTATGTTCTTACAAAACCAAATTGTGTTGAACGTACTGTAAACCTCTTACTAAAACTAAAACCAGCTTCAGGAGACAAGTGCCAATTCGGATGTCCATCCTGTCGAATGATAGGTCTATCTGTTTTCAGATGTTTTAAGGTTGGTCATGTATTCATAATATTTGTCATATATTGTTATTGTTCGTGGTTCCGATTGAACACTCCGCGCTGGGACATCATGAACTGTCATTTTCTGTCTCCATTGGTCAATGTTCATTGCATAGGTTAAACGTCCCTTTCAACACATTCTGTCTCCGATTGCGTGCTTGTCGCCCTCCCCCCCAGAACATCCGAGATTCGTCTGTGTCGACCCCGTGATCTCAGAGAGAGCTCATCAAGGCCTTTGTGTACATTCCATTTCTCACTAGCGCGCCAGGGCCTAGAGTTTTATCCACTATTGAGCTTTTGACCAGTCCCAAATAGACCTCGTTGAAGGTCCCAGACACAGCAATCCCATAAGTCTTTCTGTCTCCTCTTTACTCCAACTCCCACCTTCCCCCTCTCTTTTTTCGTCTGCTGCTCAGGTATCTCATTTTTTCTCACAATTTTTTTCTTCCTCTACCTTTGCCTCTCAGTCTTTCTCACTGTCTCTTTCTTTCTCTCTCTTTCTCTTTCTCTCTTGCCCCTCTCTCTCTCTCTCTCTCTCTCTCT